TTGCTGCTCGGATCTGTGTAAGGAGCGCCCCACTCCATGGTCTCCTGGGGCGGACTTCTGTCGCCCCCCTGCCACCAGTCCTGCCCCGAGACGCCCCGGCAGAACCCGGCCGAAATGCCCCCAGGGGAAGAGAGGCCGGCGACGGCCGCGAGCGAGTCTGTCGCAGTGGGCGCCAGCGCCTGCCCCGGGGGCGAGCGGGGCTCGGGCCGCGCAGCCGCGAGGCAGGGTACAGGCGCGCGGTGCAGGTTTGTGGGGGGTCCGGGTAGCCCTTGGCCCCCAGCCGGGGCCAGGGGGAGGAGTTGTACAAGCCATGGACGCCCAGACGTGGGGGGCCGTGCCGGCCTTGGTAACAGCTGTTCCATGTTTTAAAGGTTTGTTTGTGTACTGGGTCGTACATACTGGTATGGAGTAGTAGTCCAGTATTCCAAGAGCGAGGGATGTTAACTTTTAAGCAAATCTGTTTTAGAGAATGCAAAATGGGGCAATTCAGTTAGTAAGAGTTCTAGCAGCGAAGGAACCTATGTTCGCCTGATTCAACTTGCAGAGTATGATGTTTAGGGAACATCCCTACCTCTTCTGTCTCCATCCCCTCAGCCCACATCCCCCAACAGGTAGCCACTGTTATGAGCTTCTTGTATAGGCTTTTAGGTTATTTTATGTACACCTCAGTCAAAACAGACATATTGTTTCTCTTATTAACGTTTTTTCTGCACCTTGATTTTTTTGGTTTGGTTTGTTTGCTTAACACACCCTGGAGGTCTTTCCTACCAGTGCATTTAGAGTGGTCTTAGTATCACTATTTTTACAATTATTACTATTAGCTTATTATTATTACTCTGGGTTTTTAAGTCAACTTTATTAAGGTATAATTGACACACAAAAAATGCACCTATTTTAAGTGTAGAGTTAAATGAGTTTTGAAAAATGTATACACCTGTGCCATCATCACCACAATTCAGATACATTTCCATCCCAAAAGTTCCCCTGTGCCCCTTCCCAGTTCATCTCTCCCACTCCCAACTCCAGGCAACCACTGAGAGGCTTTCTGTCTGTACATAAGTTTTGCCTATTCTAGAATTTCATATTAATGTTATCATAAAGCATGTACTCTTTTGTATTTAGCTTCCTTCCCTCTTTGTTGTTTTTGAGATTCATTTACATGTTTCATGTATCAGTAATTTGTTCTGTAGTGCTGAGTATGTTCCATGGTATGAGGGAAGCATGATTTATCTATTCTCCAATTAGGCATTTGGGTTCTTTTCCAGGTTGGGTCTCTTCTAAATGCAGCTGCTACAAAACTGTTGTGTCTTTGTATGAACATGTGTTTTCATTTTTCATCTGTAAATACTTTAAAGTAGAACTGCAGGGTCACATCGTAAGGGTATGTTTACGTTTTTCAGAAACTACTTTCCAAAGTGGCTGTATCATTTTACACACCCATTAGCAATGTAGGAAAGTTCCATTTCCTCATCAACATTTAGTGTTGTCAGTCTTTAATTTTAGCCATTCTAATGTGTGTGCAGCATCCTCATCACTTTTTATATTTGAAAGCATTTATTCATATAGTCTCCTCTTGGGCATATAAATGGTTTCTAATCCCCTTGCTAGTAGTATTATGGATATATTGCTAATGCTGTGATGAATAATGTCTTTTTCTCTTCTTAACATTTATTTATTTATTTATCTATCTATCTATTTATTTATTTATTATTCATTTTATTATCATTAATCTACAATTACATGAAGAACATTATGGTTATTAGACTCCCTCCTTCACCAAATCCCCCCCACAAACCCCATTACAGTCACTGTCCATCAGCGTAGTAAGATGCTGTAGACTGTGATGAATAATTTTATATGCAAGTTTATCTGTGAGATAGATGATTTCCTACAAGTGGGATTGCAGGGTCAAAGGATATGTCTGTTATCAGACTGTAATATTTGCTCATTAAATGTAAAAGTACAGTCTTAATTTACATTTCTCTTATGAGTGAGGTTGAATATATATATTCAAACATTTAAGCATCATTTGTATTTCCTTTTCTCTTTATTGCCTGTTCATATTTGCAGTTCATGTTTCTATTCAGTTTTTGGTCTTTCTCTTCACTTGAAGGAACTCTTTATATATAAGGGAGATTAACCCTTTGTTTGGAGTATGAGTTACAAATATTATCCCAGTTTGGGAAATGTATCTAGCCTGTTGTGTGGCTTTAATCCAGCTATGTCCATTACTGGGTAGCACTTGATTATGTGAATATAACCACATTTTCTTTTTATTGATTCTACTGTTGCTGGACATTTGGGTGGTTCCTGGTTTTGAGATGTTGCCCCAAAATGCTGCTCTGGACATTCATGTGCATGTGTCCTTAGTTTCTTCCCTTGCTTGTCCTGCTGCCTTCATCCCTTTACTGGTCTTCTCTAGAAGCTCATCCTTGTAAGTCATTTGCACATGAAACCTCATCTGGGGGCTGCAAACTTGATTCAAACATAGATTGCCTTGGCCACACTGGGGGATCCAGGGCAGACAGCCTGGAGAGGCATCAACCCCTCCCTGTGGATGACTGAATAGGGTCACCAAGGGTGCTGACAACAGCAGAGGCCATCCCTCCAGAACAGAATTTTCTGATCCTTCACTAGATGAACCAGGGGGACAAAGAGCAAGGCACCCTGTCACACCCTGGGTCCATCTGGCCATCTCTTCTCTCATTTGGGGAGGAATTAGGATGGACAGAGAGACCCAGACTTCCATCTTGAATCAGGAGCACAAATGGAGATTCCAAAGGAGAATGCAGATTCTGAGAAAGGGAAATTATGAAGATACAAGTGCCAACCATAGTAAAGGAAACAGCCCTGGAGAGAGGCAGCTAAGAAAGCCCCAGAGAGCATAGGGACAAGACACGCCAAATGTAGGGTTAGGGTTGGGGTAAGCGCCTGGCAGGAAACAAGCTGGGGACCAGCAAAGCAGAGCAGACTCCCACAGCAGCCAGAATCTGAATGCAGATGAGGAGGTGTCAGTGTGGACGTCAGAGAGAGGAGGAGGAAGGGCCCTCCCTCTTCTAGCAAGAATACCGCAAACTGGAGAACTGCTGCTCACACTGCAGACAGAGGCTTCGGAGTCTCATTGTGGAGGGGTCCTCCCCGCGCCAAAGCCTCGTTATTGTCCTCTGGGCTAAACTGCTCACTGCAACTCATTTCACACAGTCATGTAGTTGCCATTTCCTTGTCTCTCTCCCCCAGGTCCCAAGCTCCACGGAGTCTTCTGTTCACTGTCTGGCACAGGTCCTGGCACACAGTCAGAGTTAATAGAACGAGGGGAACACGTAGCCTAAGAACTATGTGGGGTTGCAGTCATCCAAATCCAGATGAACTATATCCAGGCATGTCAGAGGAATTTTCTGCTGTAATCTCAGAGCAACTGTTTATTTACACTTGGAGGTTACAGAGGAGGGGATGAGTCCATTGGATCAAAGTTGAGGAAGATGGCTTCTAGGAGGGACACTGATCAGCTCAGTGCTCATGCCCGATAAAGCCCTGGGAAAGATGATTTATCAAATATGGCTTGATGGTGTCACTCTCCAGAGGAGCACCAGGAAGTGTCCTGGGAAAAGGCCAGTTAGGAAGAGTTAAGCCTTTGAAGGGCTCACGTAATGGGGACACCCACCGTCAATAAACAGGACTCATTCTGAAGAGTGACCAGAACAGGGTGACTATAAACATGCCAGTACACCTCTCACAGTGGACACAAGCCCTTAACCCTTTGAATAAACACCCGGGGGTGGGATATCAGGGTTATGGGGCAGGATGTTTTAGCTTTAATAGATAATGGCAAACAGTTTTCCAAACTTGCCATACATTCTGTATGGTTCCATTTATATAACATTAAAAAACAGGCAAATCAAATCTATGGTGTTAGAAGTCAAGATAGTAGTTACCTGTAGGGGGTTGCAACTGGGAGGGGGACAAGGGAAACTCTGGGTGCTAGAATGGTCTATTCTTGATCTGGGTGCTGGTTACATGGGCCAGGTCACTTTTTGAAAAGCCATTACAGCTGTACACTTATAATATGTGCACTTTCCAATAAGTGTGCTACACTTGAATTAAAGTTGTTTTTTAAACTCTTGAGGAACCTCACATCACTGGGGGCGACACAACTAACCCCTCTGAGAACCCTCCAATCCCAGGAAGACCTACACTCCTTGGAGGTACATGGAAGCAGATGAAGCCTCCCCAAACCCTCAGTAGCTACCCTTTTTGTGGCTATCTGTGGCTTCCACTCACCTTCTCTTCCCCCAGACAGCCCCAAAAGACCCGGCTGCATTTGGCTTGCTCTCTCCTTGTCCCACCTTGGAATTAACCCATACTTTCCCCCTTTCCACTTGGTGACAATGTAGAAAAAACAGTGCTTTCTAAGCACTCAGCTGCTATATGCCAAGCATGGTCATGTGGGCAGTGGAGGTGAGCAGCATGCAGAGCCCCAAGTTGCAGGAAGTGGCACAAATGGCTTGAGCATAAGATAGTTTGTGGTAAATGCCATGTAATTTGCACTCACTCACTGGCTACCTCCGGCAGGCAGTCTCCCAGAATAAGCCCACTCACCTTTGAATCCTGTGTTCCAGTCCGGCAGTTTGGGTTGCAAGAAAGAGACTCCAATTATGTCATAAGATGGACATTTATTAGAAGGACATGCCAGACAGACTCCCAGGGAGAGTCTGGCAATTAGGCACTAAAAAGAATGGGACCTGGGATGAGGAAGGATCCAGCTGCAGCTACACAGAGCTCACGTGGCCTCCAATTTCTCTCCAGTCTGTTAGTTCCTATGCCAACCCCCATACTCAACCCAAATCTCAGAGCAGCAGAGTTTTACCCCCACTCCACTCCACCATCTGCCACCACACTATCAGGGTGGTTAGTCACTAGCCCACCCAGGAACAGGTCCCAGTAGGTGCTGACTTCCTGGGAACACATTATTCCTTCTTGGTGACCCTTGTTTGTCTTAACAGCCCCTGGAGCATGTGAGCCCACTTGATCATGGAGAAGGATGCACCTAGAGCAGAAACAAGGATGCTGATGACATAGTGTCTGCTCCTGCATGTTGCCTGGTATGGGGGGGTAGGAATGGGAACACCTCTTCTTCCAGGGACCAGGCCTGGCACAAGAGGCCTGCTCAGGCCTGGCATGCCCTCCTAGAAGCCACCAAACCTTCTCTATTTCCTCAGTCTTAACGTGTGAGAAGGACTACCTCCTCCAAGAAGCCCATGACCAGAATGGCCAGGGACACTTCAGCAAGTGAACCCTGAGCCAGAACATGCCCTGCTGGCAGCATTCTCACCAATGTTAAAAGTCTCAGGGATGAAGCCCATGGTTGGGAGTCCTTTAGAAATAGAATTAAAAACTAGATTTGCCAGAACCCCTTGCAGCCTGGAGTGGTCATGTGACTGAATTTTAGCCAATGGGAAGTGAGTGGAAATGGCACATGCAACTTCTGGGTTGTGTCCACAATGGGAACGGGTGTGTCTTCAACTTCCATTCTTTCTCTCTTCTTGCTGGAGGAAATGTGAACACAGTGGGTCATGTGAACCTCACAATCAAAGACAACATTTTAGGGATGGAGAAAAATAAGAAAAGGATCCAGAGCTCCAACACCTTAACCACCATAACATATCCAGACTAGTAAGGGAGAGAAAAAAAATTCTCTCATGTTGAAGTTACTGTATTTGGTCTCTTATTAGGACAGCCTAACTTGTATTCTAGCAAATACAGAGTGCCTGGGCCAGCCCATGAGGATGTAGAAAGATCCTCTGCTACTCTATTCCATCCAAAAAGTCCAGGGTAGGCTTGGAGGAGAAGGATGTGAAGGGGCAGTACATTGGAAGATAAATGGAGAAAGGATGTCGAAAGAAAAAAGGAAGAGAAGTGAACAACACAATCAACTCATTTCTTTTCAGTGTCCCCCAGGGTCAGCACCCTCCTGGGTAGATTGGGGGTCACTTCTGCCCCACCACCCAGTTTTCTTGGGGGCAAGAGGTTTGGAGCCAGGTCATAGAAAATCAGATGTCACAGAGTTATTTTCACAGAGGTGAGCAGGACCCAATGCTGCCTTGTTCACGGGGCTGGAGTCCTCACAGGTCCTGGTGACCTCCTCCTCCTGAAGGTAGGCAATGCCATGGGTCAGCTCAGGGATAAAGCACAGAACAAAGTCCCAAATTTGGCTGCATCAGGATCATTGAGCTTCCCACAGAAAACCCTGGTCACAGGAAGACTCTGGGAGTAGTCATCGCCTGACCTCCAACTCTGGAAGGCAGTGCCCCAGACCTCCAGCTTGGGGTGGGGGTCCCAAAGGGATTGTTGAGAGTGTGCATGGCTGAAAATGTGTCTGGGAGCCCCAGACCACCATGTGGATTGTCTGCAGAAGGAGATACATCAGGGGGGAGAGGGAGATAGGCTTCCACCCCTACACAAGGACAGGCAGACTAAGGAATGAGGGAGAGACCCCAAAACATGATGTGTTCTAAGATGTGTCTTGGAAGTGCAGGTGATGCTGCCAAATTCAGAACGACTGTCACAGTCATCCAGCTGGCCATGAGCAAGGACATGTCTGCTCTCTGCCCCATCAGAATATGGCCCCCTCATCTTTTCAGGGGGCCCTGGTTCTCCATATTCTCTCCTCAATCTCCCCCTACCTCTAGGCACCACCCTGTAGATGAGTAGTCTCCAGGGGCCAGCTCTACACCACCTGCCAGCCGAGCACTATGTCCGCATGGCCCCACACGGTGAATGGATACCTGCATGGTCTCCTTCTGCGAAGCCATCTCCACCAAATTCTCACCCAAGATCAGCCTATGAAAATGCTTCCTTCTGCAAGGGCAAGAGCAGACTCAGAGAGCCTCCCACCCCCCGCCTACCCCATTCCCTCTCCCCTGCTGCCATGCCTGGCCCCAGACCACTCACTGCAGTGGGGAGCATTGTGGGGAGTGGGATACCTTATCTCTCTTCCTCTCCAGCCCTTCTTTCATGCAGACAGGGTAGAGATAGGGAGAGAAGAAATGACAGCAGGATGGAGTTAGAGACGATTCTGGGAGGGATTCCCAAATGTGAAGCAGGAGGAGGAAAGGCAGGCTAGGAGGCATGGGCAGGGAAAGGGGGATATGGGAGTATGTTGGGGGAAAAGAGAGGAAGGATGAGGTGACCCCGTCCATCCTGCAGCCCTGGACCCACCTGCAGGCGTAGCAGGCTCCCAGGCCCAAGAGTAGGACGAGGAGGCCCATCAGCAGCCCCAGGACCCAGAGTAGCTTCTGGAACAGATGCAGGCGGTGAAGGGCTGGAACACAAGGGTGGGGCTCAGGGGACAGCTATGGCTCCAGACCTCCAAGGCTCCCTCCCAAGGTGACTCCCCCAAGATGAAACCTATTCTGACTTTCACTTTATCACAGAAACTTCCCTAAAGGAGCTCCAAGCAACCAGTCTAAACTGTCCTGACAAGCAGACCGTAGCAGAAGGGATTCAGGAAAGACCTCGGATGGAAGCCTTTAGAAGTGAGAGGTAGGCCTTTATGGACCTGAGAGTGGCCTGGGAGACGGAGATTCCTCACCTCTGGTTCCAAAGTAGGTGGAGGCAGAGGCTGAGCCCAGGGCATTGGAGGCAGAGCACACATAGTCTCCCTGGTCGCTGGGCTTCAGCTCTTCCAGGTCCACCCTCAAGGCATTGGGGGTGACTGTGACATGGATGTGTGGCTCCACAGGAATACCCCGGGGCTGGCTGGAGGCCACCAGCCTACTGCCAAGGTGGAGGGTCAGGCTGGCTAGAGGCTCACTGTCCACACGGCAGTCCAGAATGCCCTGGACACCACTCTCAGGCTCCAAAAAGACCGTCATGGAGGGCACCTTGGGAGGGTCTATGGGAAGACAGGGAGTGTGGATTGCAGAAAAAAAATCACAAATCCCTCCTTTCCCTGTACCCAGGCAAGGTGACTTTCCTGCACCTTCCAAGAAGAGGTAGAGCCTATTTCCTAACTGATCTGTGACTTGCTTTGACCACTAAAAGGCAGAAATAACATTGTCTGACTTCTTGGCTTTTGCTCTCCTTGGAACACAACAACGGGGCCACCCAGGTCAGCCTGCTGGACACAGGTGGCCTAGCAAACAGCCAGCCCCAGCTGCCAGCCATGAGGGTGAAGCCATCCCAGACCATCTAGCCTCAGTTCAGCCACTGGAAGACTACAGCTACATGACATGAGACCAGCAGGGCTGCCCACCTGAGTCCAGCCCAAATTTCTAGCCCACAGAACTGTGAGAAAATAAAATGGTTATTATTTTAAGCACTAAGTTTTGGGGTGGCTTGTTACACAGCAACAGTTGACTGATACAGCATGGGGCCCTGATAAAGAATAGAGTAAGAGAACGAAGCTGATGAGGGCCTGTTGTATGTATTATCTCCTATCTGTCTCACAAGGTGAGGAAACTGACGTTTCGCAAACAAAGAAACCAAGGTAAGGACACACAAGATCACCCAGCTGGCCAGTGGGAAGCCTCCTGGGCAGGACTCCATGCCTGTGAAGTCAGTGCTCATTGCAGACAGAAGAGGAAAACCTGAGGTGGGCATGTGAGATGTGAGGAGACTGAGGCAGAGGGTGGTGTTACTCACAGAGCACATGGAGCACGACTGGAGCAGAGGTGGTGGCCCCAGTGGGGAGCTCAGCCTGGCACTGGTACACCCCAGCTTGGGCACGGATCACGTGGATGAAGGTGAGGGTGGGCACAGGCTCTGTGTGCAGTCGTTGGCCATTCCACAACCAAGCAAAGGTGGAATTGTCCCTGGGTCCAGGGCCACCAGAGAAGTGACAACTCAGGTTCAGTGCTGTGCCCTCAGGCACATCCAGCCCTGGCTGAGCCACCACACGTACACCTGCAGGCCAAGGACAGGGAGGGAGTTGGGGATCTGCAGGCCTGTGGAAGCTGTTCCTCCTCCATCAGATTGGGCAGAGCGGTATCTACCCCCTCGGGCCAGCCAGCCACCTCTCATGGGAGCCCCGCCTCTCACCCAGACTCTGACCTCAAAGCACTGGAACCTCTTCTTTTCCCCCCTTGCCACTCACCTTCTGCCTGCAGCTGCCCCATAGTGCTGACAGAGCCCAGCAAGTTGCGGGCTGTGCAGACATAGGAGTTCTCATCACCTGTGGGCATATTTTGCACCTGCAGCCGCAAGGCATTGCGGGCCACCTGGACACGGTCTGTCCCCGATGCCAAGCCATGAACCCCATGGCTAGTGGCCAGCACCTTGCCATTGTGCGACAAGGCCAGCTCAGCAGGTGGCTCGCTGTCCACAGTGCACTGTACCACAGCCATGGGGCTGGCCCTTGAGTCCCAGAAGGAGGACAGAACAGCATCCCGAGGGGCATCTGGGGACAGAGCAGGGCAGGGTTAGGGACCTTGCTTGGAAACCCTCTGCTCTCCACTGCCCACCTGCCTGGCACTGGTGAGTCTGAAGCCCCTGGACAAGTGGTCGCTTCCTAGAAGTGATGCCTTCTCAGGAGTCCTGTGGGCAAATTCCTCCAGGCTGAGTTCAAAGGGCCCTAGGGCTCCTTTCCTCATCACCTGTATCCTTCTCTCCCCAAGCACCCATTCCCAGGTGTACTGCAGTCCCGTGCCCACCTCCACCAGGACCCATAAGTGCTCTCCACCTGCCCTCATCCTGGGCACCCCCAGGCAAGGACACATGCTCACAGAGGACTTGCAAGGCCGCTGGCCGGGAGCTGCGTGTGCCCTGGGCATCCTGGACCTGGCAGGAATAGGCACCTGCATGAGCCCGCGTAGCCACTGGGAATGAGAGGGAGACGGCTGGCCCCTCCTGCAGCCAGCGGCCATTGTGGTACCAGGCATATTGGGTGGGTGGCCGAACAGAAGGGTCCTCACAGGTCACTGTGACAGAAGCCCCCTCAGGCACAGAGGCCGATGGGGCCAGGACCACCTGCACACCTGTACCAGGGAAGCCAGGGTCAGCTGGGTGCAGCCAGAGGGCACAGGTGATCCCACCCCTGGAGGGCTTGGCCTGGGTCCTGCCTCACCCTCTAGCCGCAACTCCAGGGATGTGTTGGCCTGGCCCAAAGGACTCTGGGCAGAGCAGCTGTAGAAACCCTCGTCCCTGGGCTGGGGCTCCCACAGTTCTAGGCGCAGAGTGTTGGGGACAGAGGCTGTGGTTGAGGAAGCTAGGAGACGGCCGGCGTGGTTGATGGCCAGTTGGGCGGGTGGGCGGCTGTCCACAGTGCACAGTATCAGGGCCAGCCGACCTCCACGGCTCTCCAGGAGGTAGGTCAGCCGCAGGCTGCGGGGTGCATCTGCAGGCGTGAAAGGCATAGAAGTTCAGAGACTGCAGCCAGTGGCCAGTTTGTAGGTGGCATTCAGACCAGGAGGACACTGACTACCCACACCAAAGGTTCCCAATTGCCTAATCTGGAGCCCAGAGAGGACCTGTCCCCTCTGCCCCCAACTCTAATGCTCCTTATCTATCTCCCCCTTGGCCAGCTGGGTACAGGGTTTCTGGGTGGGATGTCTGGGGGGCTTTGGCCATGTCCTGAGCCCTGAGGGCTGCTGTCACTCCTTCCAGCCCCACCCTGATCTACCGCACTCACAGAGGACGTCCAGGATGACAGGCCTGGAGAGGCGGGGTGCCTGGCCAGGTTTCACCACCCCACAGCGGTAGGAGGCTGCATCTGTGACTGTGACGCTGGGCAGAAGGATGGAGCGGGCACCTGGGCGCTGCTGCCCATCCTGGTACCACATGTAGGTGAGCTGGTCCAGGCGGGTGGTCCACACGAGACAGGTCAGGTTCACCAGCTGCCCCTCCTGCACAGTGGCCTCGGGCCACACCTGCACACTCACAGCTGGGGAGAAAAGGAGGGCACAGGGACACCATGAGGGTCATGAGACCATGTGACACAAGCCACCTGTCTCCCTGAGCAAAGGAAGCCCCTCAGCCTGAGAGGCACAGGTGGCCCACCTGTACTGGTTCATCATCTCTCACGTGGTCTCAGGCAGGGATCTGCAGCACCCTGACATGCCCTGAGTCGCATGGGAGAACAGGCCTCCCCTGCCCTGCTCTGCTTTCCCCTTGGGCACCTCATTTCTGATCAGTTTTATCCACTGTGCATCCACGTACAATTCTGTTCTTAAGAAAGACTCTTCCATGAAACTCCAGTCTGGAGACTGCTCCCCTTCAGAAAGGTGGGAATGGAAACTCCTGTGTTCAGCCCATCTGCCCATGCCTCAGGCCTCCAGAACTCTCCCCAGCCACCTCTCCTCTCGTAAAGGAGCCACTCATGCGCACACTCACAGCCCCACACTGACCCTGGGTGTCGAAGTTGGCCGAAGCAGAGGCCTGGCCCAGAGTGTTAGTGGCCTCGCAAGCATAGACACCCTCATCTTCCAGCATCGTGTTGTGGATCTCCAGGCGCAGTGTGTTGGGGGCCACAGCTACCTGCAGCCGGGGACTGCTGCCTGCAAGTTCCTCCACACCTCGCAGGGTGGAAGCCACAGCGTGGGCCCCATGGAGCAGCTGTAGCTGGGCTGGAGGGTCACTGTTCACACGGCACAGGAGGAGGCCCAGTCGTCCGGGGCCTGTGTCCATCAGGGTGGTGAGGGAAGCCTGGCGTGGGGCATCTACACAAGGCAGGGAGTGGTCAGGGCCCCTCCAGCTGACCCCTCATCTGGTGCTGTCTCTCAGAGACAGAGCCCAGGACCAAGGGCTCGGTATCCCCTACCCTAGCCGTGACCTTGACTCCTTCACCCCCGTGCCTCCCACAAGAAGCATGGATGCAATGAAAGCTTACAGGACACATGGAGGCTGACAGGAGTCGCCAGGCTCGTGGTGGCTGAGCCTGGGGCCTGGGCTTGGCAATGGTAGGCCCCAGCTTGGCTCAGAGTTATGGCTGCTAAGCTGAGTGTGGCCGAGGTTGACTCCTGAAGGGGCTGGCCATCCCGATACCAGCGGTATGAGGTCCCCTCCAGGACCCCTGCAGGTACCTGGCAGCTCAGGACCACAGCCTGGCCCTCCTGGAGCTCAGGTGATGGTGACACCTGGACCCAGGCTCCTGCAGGGAGACACGGAGAGCAGGTAAGGGCCTTCTGCCACACCCTCCCACAGTCTGGGACTGTGTGTGTCCATGCCAGAACTGCAGGACCCCAACCCCGTCTCCTGGGGCCACAGCTCCCCCACCAGACCACCACCGAGGGCCACAGTTCAGCCCCATGCCTCCTCCTCTCCTGTTCCCAACTCCCCTGCACTGGTTCTGTCCTGGCATTGACCTCCTGCTGCCTTGAGTTAAGGTTTTTCTCTACCAGTCACATCTTGCCTACAGAGGTCAAGCCCCTGAGGGCCCAGCTTATGTGACTTACAACCCAGTGCCAGGTGCAGCACTTGCGTGTATGAGCTCGTGACAGTTGTTGTTTGACCCCATAAAGCACTGAAATGGGAGGGATTTAGGTCATGCCAAGGGCCACTGTCCTGATCATGAGCTGGACTCAGCATGGTGACTGATGGCTTGGAAGGGGAAGTTAGCAGCTGTGTGATCTTGAGTTCTCTGCAGCCAGGCTGCAGGTCATGAGAACCCAGGAACTTGGGATGGGGCAAAGGGCAGTGCCCTCTGGGTCTGCTGGAGGAGGCCATGGTGGGGGACTGAGAAGGAGGGACAGCTGGAGGGGTGACTGAGAGCACAGGCTGTGCCTGAGACCAGAACTGAATGAACCAGAGTTAGCAGGGACCCCCGCTAGTCACGTGACTGTGAGCAAGCTCCTAAAACTCTGAATGCTTTTTCTGCCTGTAAAATGGGTCTGATAAATAAGAAAAGATATAGAGAACCAAGGCCCAAGGAAAATGTTCAAAAATTCACATTTGTCATTGTGGGAGGGAAAAAAATGTGTTTTTCTTTGGTCTTTGAAGCATTAAAGGCATTAACTTTATTTTTTCCTGGCTTATTTTCTTAGAGAAGATTTTTATAGGAGAACATATATGTGTATATAAATACATGAATATATCCTTATGTATAAGTGCATGTATACATGTGCATGTATATACTCGCATTCATATATATATATTACACATATATATATTAGGTTTTGTATGACAATAATTATTACATTATAAAATTATATTATGAAAGAAGTTACCCGTCAGGAAGTGCTCCCACCAAGCAAGCCACCTCGTGTAACTACCACTGGCTCTTAGTGGCTGCCACAGTTATTACAGGTGAAAATATCTAGCTGAAAACAAAGGGAGGCTTCCTGCTGGGTGACTGGAAACTATCTCCTAACCATGGCTGAGAAAGACTCACATTTCTGCACAAAATCCACATGCCCCAGCCCAGAGCCTGGCCAGAGGAGCCCCCAGGCATTTGGGTCTATTGCACCCTCAGAGAACTGACACTCACCTCGGACCTGGAAGAAGAGGGAGGTATTGGCTGAGCCAAGGACATTTGTGGCCTCACAGCGGTAGCTTCCAGAGTCTCCAAGGCTCAAGTCTCGAATCTCTAGATGCAGGGAGTTGGCTGTGGCTTTGGCCTGGAGGCGGTCATGGGATGAGAGCTGGGGCCCTGGGCTGGTGACCAAGAGGCGCTCCCCATGGAACAGGGACAGCTGGGCCAGGGGGCGACTATCCACAGTGCAGATGAACACGGCCACGTGGCCCTGGTCGATGTCCAGGAGGGCTGACAGCTTTGGAGGGTCCGGGGGATCTTCAAGGACAGGAAGGAGCTCAGGCCACCCCCAGCCCAGCTCACCACATGCCAGCTGCCACACTGTGTCCCATTCCCCCTCCACACACACACAGCCCAGGCCCACCCTTGCCTCCCCAAACTCAACCCCAGTCCTGTTACCCCGGACCACCCCTCAGGTCCCCATGTGCCCAGTTCTGCTTTTGCCCATCACCCACAGAGCACACTCAGGAGCACCGGGCTGGAGAGCAGGGCCCCAGCGTCGACGAGGATGCGGCAGGCATAGAGGGCAGCATCCGTTCTGGCCACGGGCAGCAGTGTCACAGTCTCCAGGGGGCCCTGGGCCCACAGCGCCCCATTCCGGAACCAGGAGAAGTTGGCAGGGCCGCCAGCAGCTTCCTGGCTCACGTTGCAAGTCAGGTTGGCCCCGGTGCCCTCCCGCAGCATGGGTGATGGCGTGATGACCAGGACAGTGGCTGTGGAACAGCAGCACAGGCCTGCCGAGACAGGCCTCCCCTTGGCTGCTCCCCACCTTGGGGGCTGTGGTCCAGCCTCCCAGCCTAGAGGGGTGGGAAGGAGACCCCCTGGGGTGCCCAGGGCACAAGGGAGGAATGCAAACTCCTGTTGCTGTGGGGGTGCTTCACCCCACAGACCCTCCTCAGAGCACAGCTGTACAGGAATAGGGTCCTAAGCGCCAACCCTCGGCCCCAGCCACTGGTCCCTGCCCCAGCTCACCCTGGGCATTGAAGGTGGCCGGGGCAGAGGTGTTGCCCAGAGCATTGCTGGCCTCACACACGTACACACCCTCATCCTCCAGCACTGGGTCTCGGATCTCCACACGCAGCAGGTTGGGGGCCCTAGTGACCTTCATGCGCTGGGAACAGCCCCCACAGCTGCAACAGCCACCCTGCTGTGGCAGGGAAGAGGCCACAACATGGTTCCTGTGGAGCAGCTGCAGCTGGGCAGGAGGGTCACTGTCTACGCGGCACAAGAGGAGGCCTTGCCGTCCAGCCCCAGCTCCGGCGGCATCAGGGTCCAGCTGGGCAGTGAACGTGGGCCGGCGTGGGGCGTCTGTGGAGAAGAAGAGCATGGGCACTCATCCCACGGCCTCTGCCAGGGTCCCACAGGTCCACTCTAGGCTGGCGAGGCTTCCAGTACACACTGGACAGAGGTATGTGCCCAGAGGTGCTGAAAACAGCTGCGCAGGCTGTGCACTGTGCAAGGAGAACCAGACCGGGGTTGGGGGAATTCAGCCGACACACCTCGTGCTGAGCTATGACCTGGGGCTGGACTGAGTTGTTCCCAGGGGCAAGGGTGCCGTTTTGTAGCTCAGACAAAGGCTCAGTATTGGCTAGCAGTCACCTTGCATAACTCCTTGTGCCCTGAGCAGGGCGCCCACAGCAATCCCTGCTTCCACTCTGCACCCCATTCCTTACCACTGAGCTGTCCCTCAAGATCCTCCCTGCCTCTTATCTCTGATCTCCAAGCCAGCTTCTGTGATAACAGCTAATGCCTAAAATGCCCTCTTCCTAGGGTTTCTGGACATGGATGGTGAAAGACAGCCATCAGCCAAGGCCCCATGTGATCTCACCCTGACACCAGAGAACCCCCACAAGGTGCCCGTTCTGCCTGACAGCCCCAGGACGTTGCTCCTGTATGTGTCAGGGGAGGCTTTCTGGAAGCCAAGTCTGTCCTGAACACTGGTTTGCCCCTCGGGCTAATGTGGGGCACCCACACTTTACAGGACACAGTCCCTGTGCTGAGAGGTCTGCCTTCACGACTCTGGGAGCCTGTGGGGGAGCAGCCTATAGGCATGCGCCCACATGTAAGAGCATGGAATCCCAGAGCCCAGCTCAGGAGGACAAATCTTGGACATGGTGCCTGTGGTGGGTTTGAGGTTAGAGGCAGAGGGCTCCAAAATGGCTAGGATTGAAGGATAGGATGTGGGGAGGCAGAAAAAGCCCCAGCCTTGTACTCCCAATTCCAACCCCAGGCAGAGAGGCCTATGGTGCCCAGGCCTGTGGCTGCCTTTCTGGTCTTCCCCCAGGGCAGGGCGGGGTCAGGAGGAACCAAGGAGGTGGGGGTGCTCATGGGCCCCAGGGAGCTGATCCTCCATGACAGGCAGCGGCCTGTGGGGAAGCTGCTCACAGAACACTGTGAGGACAGCAGGTGATGAGGGGCCACTGGCACTGTGGCCGTCCTGGGCCCGACAGTGGTAAGAGCCGGCGTCCGTGCTGGAGGCTGTGGGGAGCAGGAGGCTGCTGCTGGGCCCCTCGAGAAACAGTGCTCCGTTCAGGTACCAGGAGAAGCGAATGTCAGGTGTGGGGCTTAGGCCGCTCCGGCAGCTCATTGTCACCGCCTGTCCTTCCACCACTTCTGCTGCCGGGCTGATGAGGAGGCGGGCCACTGGCAGGAGAGAAAGATGGGGAGGCTTAGCTCCTCTGCACATCTGCTGCTCCAGGCCACCCCCTGCAGGAAGCCTGCCAGGGTTCCCCTCTTCTCACAGAACTGTAGGTGGGTCTGGGCTTCATGACATCAGAGGGGCATCCACAGAGCAAATGGCCTGAACTCTTTATGTTTCAATGTCACAAAAGACAAGGGAAGACTGAGGACTGTCCCAGGTTAAAGGAGAATAAAGAGACATGATAACTGAATGAGATGAGGGACCCTGGATGGGATTCTGGGCCAGAAAAAAATAATTGCCATAAAGGACATTATTGGATCAACTGGTAAAATTTAAATATGGACTGTAGATTAGGTGAGAGTCTTGTGTCAATCTCTTGATAAGCAGGAGGGTTTGACCTTGAATGTCAATTCTGATCTATTGATCGTAGCTGGCTGCAGCATGGCTGAAAGGGATTCTGAGCCAGAAAACCTGGCTTGATTGATTAGCTATGTCTGCCACAGCCTCAGAAGACAGCACATGGGCCAAGAGTTGGAAGACCCCACTTCCTTATTTTGCCTCCTGCATCTGACTCCTAGCACAAAGCCTGCCCCGAATGCTGGAGAAATGAAAAACAAATGAAAGCATATGAAGGACCCTACAAGTTCAGAGTCAGAATATGCACAAAAGGAATAATGCAACCTGCCCTGTTTCCCTTTCTGCCTTGATTTCCAGGGATCTCCCAGGTTGGGATGACTGTTCAGCCCAGGTCTCTGACGTGACTTTTCACTAGCCAGCTAGTTCAGCCCCTCAGCTGAGTCCTCTGGACTCCTAGGAGGAAGAGGCTGGAACATGCCTTCTTCTTGGGCTCCCTCCGCCAGCCCCCAATGCCCATCTTACCATTGACTTGGAAGTCCAGGGTGGAGGACGCATTTCCAAGGGAGTTGCTGGCTAGGCATGTGTACTCCCCACTGTCAGTTGGCTCCAGATCTCTGATCTCCAGGCGCAGGGAGTTGGGAGCAGAGAAGACACTGAAGCGTGCGCTGAGGTCACCCTCCCCAGGGATGGAGGCCAGGACGTGGCCACTGTGTGACAGCACCAGGGTGGCCAGGGGCTCACTGACCACGGAGCAGCGGAGGATGCCCACCAGCCCAGCCTGCGTCTCCAGGAAGGCAGTTAGCTCGGGGGCGAGGGGTGGGTCTGTGTGAAGATGAGGGGGTGCCTGTCACCCTCAGACAGGGCACTCCCCAGATCCCAGATCCCCCTTTGTGGCCCCTGAACTCCCTCTGTCCCACAATGCCCTGGGAGAGAGGGGCAACCCCTCTCCTGCTTGCCTGCTGCCTACACTTTTGTCCCTGGGCTGGGCAAATCACTTTGTCCATCCTTGTGGCAACCATGCCAGTTGGGATCAGAAGCCCGTCTTTAAAGATGGGAACACATCTGGTAGAGACAGCTGGCAGTGGACACTTCTCAACCAAGTGATCAGAGTTAGCACTGCCAACAACAGGACAAACTGACATCACGTGTCTCCTGGCATGATGCTGAGAGACAGACGCTGCATCCTGTCTGTGGTGCTCTCACCCAGGTGCACAGGATCAGTCTACTAAGCCAGACACAAACTGAGGGGCATCCACAGCAAATGGCCTGAACTCTTCAAATTTCAATGTCAAGAAAGACAAGGGAAGACTGAGGACTGTCCCAGGTTAAAGGAGAACAAAGAGACATGATAACTGAATGAGATTAGGGACTCTGGTTGGTTGGGATCCTGGGCCAGAAAAAAATAATTGCCATAAAGGACATTATCTGTCAATTGGTAAAATTTAAATATGAACTGTAGATTAGGTAGGAGTTTTGTGTCAATGTCACATTTCCTGACTGATCATTGTGCTGTGGTTATGCACAAGAATTACCTTAGAAATACACATGCTGAGGAGTTAAAGGGTAAAGAGGCACCTGCCTGCAACTTCAGGAATGTGAATGTATGGATGGAGAGACAGATAACATATATGTGTATGTAACATATGCATGCTTGTATTTGTATATACAGAGAAAAGATGTATGTGTACACAATACATGCATATATGTAATGTACATGTTATATACAGACATGTATATATATGCATATGTACATCTACATATATATTATATGTGTATGTATTTAAAGAGAGAGAGAGCAAATGCTCCAAAATTTAACAAATGGGGAATCTAGGCTAAAGATCTATGATAATTCTTTTGCTCTTCTTACAACTTTTTGTAAGTTTAACTTATTTCAAAGTAAAAGGTTTTCTAAAATAGGAGGAAACTGTGGCCCAGGAAAATCAAAGCCTCACCCAGGTGTGCAGAGCTGGGATGTGAGCTCAAGCCCACGCAGGCTCAGGACCCCAACCCTCCAGTGGGCACCCCACCCTTTGGCCTGGCTCTGGCAGAACCCAGTGCCACCCCACCCCGGCCACTTACGGCTGACCACCACACTGACAGGGCCAGAGCGCTCTCTGCCCTGGGCATTCTGCACCTCGCAAAAGTAGAAGCCAGTATCGGCCCTGGTGGCTGAGCGCAGCTGCAGTGCGTGGCTGTGGGGATCCCCCAGCAAGACGTGGTTCTTGTACCAGCTATAGAGCAGGCCACTGGGTGCTTCTCTGGGTGTATTGCAGGTCAGTGTCACTGTCTGGTTCTCTAGGATGGGGCCTGCTGGGTTCACCTGGACCTCGGCCACTGTGGGGTAACATAAGGCACACTGGGGACACTCAGCTGACTTCCAGGCCCAACCCCTCAGAACAATGGGGTTGCGGCCAATCAGTGCAAATCTGTACATACAGTGCAATTCTACATCATTGTCCTTCTGCAGAGGGGCTTTCTGGACTGGCCCTGCTTCTCCTTGACCTGTTTCCTGGGGTCCTCCTGACATCCCACCCTGCCGGGGAGATTTGTCATCTGTCTGAGTAGGGCTAGAACGCTACACCCACGTCCCAGGAGGCAACTTGGCCTGGCTTCCCTCAGCCCCAGTGGCCTGGACCCCTCCCCACCCTCTGGTCAAAACCCAGGTTCCCCAGAGACTCACTGAAGATGTGGAGGCTGACAGGGGGTGAGGCTGAAGAGCCCACACTATTCCCAGCTTGGCAGGTGTAGACGCCAGCATCATCCCAGGACACCTGGGTCAACTGCAGCACACGGTTTTGGGCTTTGAGGTGTGTCCCATCCTTGACCCACTGCACGGAAGTGACACTGGGATAGCTGCTGTTCACCTGGCAGGTGAGTGTGACCAGATCACCTGGCAGAATGTTCCGCCCCGAGGGACTGAGAAGGATCTCCACACCCTTCGGGGCATCTGCAAGGCATTACAGGGGATGTTGGGTAAGATGGACACACTCCTCCCCTCTTCTTTCAACAGTGGGTCCTGTTAGTCCCCCTTTCCAGGGGCAGGTGCTGCCCCAGCCTTGTGAGGAATTCTTGATCCCTTCCTCCTCTGCTGAGAGCCTGACAAGACAGTCAGGGCTTGGCTGAGCACTGCCCACACTGCCTCTGTGGCCTTCTGCCTCGTGCTGTCCCCTGGGGCTCATGGGCAACACACTGCTCCCTTTGGTGGCCTGTGGGGGCTGCTGGCAAGGGACCAGCCACCTAACGGAGGGGACCACGCCAGGGTCACTGAGCTCTGATAGTGGCTGACCCATTTATATGGAAGGCGCTGACCAAAGACACGGTGTTTCTTTCAGGCTTGTTCCGAAGCCTCTCGCCATGAAAACACGCTCATAAAAGCTATTTTCAAAATATGAAAGTAATAGAAGCTAATAGCTTGGAGTGCTTAGTGTGTGCTAAGCACTCCTTCTATTTTCACCATGGTTGTACAAGATGGCACTATTTATTGTTACCTCCCCTACACAGAGGATAAAACAGAGGCTCTGAGATGCAAGTAACTCCCCAAAGTTTGCTCATCGTGGTCGTGGAGCCAGACAACCTGATGGCTGTGAACAGTGGCTATTCTCAAATAGGCTGCCCTGTTTTACTGTGATGGGAAGATGCATCCTCAAGCAGGAACTCGGGCTTCCTCTCCTGCCTCTTTGCCATGGCCGGGTGGGCCCCGGGTCACCAGAAGCATAAGTAGCCTCAGGCAGGAAAGGACTCAGAGCGAAAACCCCACCAGCATCCTCCAAACCTGGGCTAAATCCCAGGGCCCTTGCTGCCCAAACCCCAATTCTCTGACTCTCTGTGTCTCCCCTTCCCTGCCCCGCCTGGGCTTGGGGACAAGTGGCAGAAGGAAGCCGTTAAATGTGGCTCCCAGGGCTTAGCAGTCTCTCTCCACCTGCCCAACCCTGTAGGTCTGAGTGAACCTGGCTTTTTCTCAAGAGCAAGGGCTCTGTTTCTACAGGCTGGAGAAGGCCTGGTTCCCACTGGAGAGCCACGCATGTACGCTAATGAGGGTGTGGCCCCTCGGGCACTCACACTGCACTTGGAGGTGAACCTCGCTCTGTGTCCTCTGCTCGGCTACCGAGAGCTGGCACTGCAGGGTCAGGCCATGGTCCCGCCAGGTCAGGGCCATGTGGAGGGTCTGCAGGTGGGTGACACCTGTGGGCTCAAGCTTCTGGAGGCTGGAGGTGACCGAGCGAGTGGGGTCCTGGCCTTGCCACTGCAGGCTAACCGGCTTCTGCAGGCAGGTGTAGGGGGTGGAGCAGTTGAAGTCTGCCTCCATGCCCTCGCGGAGCTCGGCAGGCCAGGTAAGGGTAGGCACACTGGGCTTCTCTGAGACAAAGACAGGGCATCAGGACTCTCCTTCAACCTCCGATCCCCCGAGACCTTCTGCACTGAACCCTCAGCTGAGGGATGAGCCCCTGGGACTTCAAGCAGAAGGAGAGGCTATTTTCTCCCCCCAGTCCCACTTGGGGTGAATGCACCGGGATGCAGGACTGGGGCCAGGTGGGGGCCAATACTGGGTTTAGGACAAGTGTTGGGTCTGTGAGCCAGTGGGGTCAGGAGCAGCTCGGGGGTCCCTTTCAGGCAGTAGGCAGGCCCCTCTGCTCCTCACCTGCCACGGTGACCACAGTGCCTTTGGTATCTGACCAGCGGTTGCCCTCACTGATCTCAAAGCGGAAGTTGTAGGAGCCTGAGTCCTCGGGCTGCAGGTCCTTCAGCAGCAGGTTGCACACCTTGTGCTCAGCTTGCCCCAGCAGCTGGGCCCGGTCTTGGAAGCGTGCCTCCACCAGCTGGGGGTTTGTGGAGTGGCTCACCACCTGCCGTTGGCCCGAGTAGTCATAGTACCAGATTGCTGTGATGCTGTCGGGCACCTGCACGTCGGCAGGGTAGGTGAAGACGCAGGGGATGACGAGGCAGGACCCCTTCACGCCCTGCACTTCCTGGGGACTGGAGACACCCCATGAGGCCAGACCTGAGGGAGGGGTGCAGAGAGGAGAGTGATGCAGGCCTGGGGTCACCGCAGAGCCCTAAGATCTTCCCCAAAGAGAGTGTCTCAGATGGGCATCAAAACCCTGCCCGGCCCCCTAGCAACAGCCCTGGAGCAGCTCCTCTTGGCGCCCCGGGGAGGGGCCTTGCCCCTTGTCACTGCTTTCCCGGGCCCTCCTTCGATCTCAGCACAGACCTGTGGACAGGCACTGTCCAGTCTGCCCAGGCCAGGGAAGGGCTGGACTCCCCAAGGCTGGCCCCGGGAGCTGGGCAAGGCCAGAGAACCTTACCTGCTGAGATGGATGAGGTCAGCTGGAAGAGCTGGAGCAGGTAATCCATCACAGGTTCTTGCGTGAGTTCTGGGTCCTAAAAGGGCAGTGTGCACCGTGCTGGTGGGGCCCACAGGGGCCTCCTAGGAACCTCAGGACACCTCCGCCTCTGGGCCTGCTGAGAGGCCCGCACGCTATGGTGGCCAAGCCAGTGAGAGGGCAGGGCTGCTCTGGGGCAGCTGCCAGCAGAGCCAGGAGCCCACATGCACAGCTCAGACTGTACCCAGGATGCCCTTACTTGGTGGTATGCACCAGAAAGCCTTCTATGTGTCCCTTGGCCCCACCCTAAGTTCTGGTTCCCCAGCCCCAGTGTAAATGAGCAGCTGCTTATTCCCCACTTCCCCACCACCTCCCTGCCCACAAGCTAACAGGAACTGGAGCCCAGAGAGGCTCAGGGACTAACTCCAAGGTACCCAGTGATAACGATAGTTTCTTACTTGAGACTGGTCTCCCTACCACCAGCCTTACCAGCTACGGGCCATAATGGGGCTTGACTGAGCACTTATCAAGTCACTACCCTGCTCGAACACCTTCTATAGCTCACCATTGCCCATGAGCTATATGGGCCCCAACACATCCCTGGAAGTTTCTCATTTCCTACTCCCAGCTCTGCCCCCATGCTCTACTCCCCACACCCCTATCTTTAGGTCAGTCCTGTCTGCCTATGGGCTCTCCAGCTGACCAACATTGCCTCCACCGTGAATAATACCTGCCAACTGGAACCTTATTTAGTCTTCAAGGTATGTCTTACAGAAACTTCTAACTAAAACTTCCCCCTTTGGAATCCTTGCAGCCACCCCAGTACTATCTCTGTACCTGCCTTGTCTTTGGAAGCTTGTGAGAACCCATTTCTCAGAACCTAAGACTGAGGAGGATGTATACCCTGCCACAGTGCAGAGCCCCCCAGGATTTGCAGTGGTGGACAAGAGATATGTGGCCCTAGGGAATTTAGAGTTCATGGCAGGGAAGTCTAGGTGCAACAGGGCACAAAGGCCCTGAACAACACATATCCCACAAACATGAGTTAAACACCTATTGTGTATCATGTACAAGAAGGAGAGCCCTCTGCCATGGAGTGCCCCTGGTGGGTATAGGGGCTCTAAGGGGTGCCACAGAATCAGAAAGGGAGATACACCAGAAATACATATAACTAAAACTATAAAATTGTTAGAGGAAAACAGGTGAAAATCTTCATGCTATAGGATCAGCAATTATTTAAGTATTATACTAAAAGCACAAGCAAAAAAAGAAAAAAGATAAGTTGGACTTGATAAAAATTTAAAACTTTCGCGCATCAAAGGACACTATTAAGAGAGTGAAAAAACAATGTCACTCCTTCCAGCCCCACCCTGATCTACCGCACTCACAGAGGACGTCCAGGATGACAGGCCTGGAGAGGCGGGGTGCCTGGCCAGGTTTCACCACCCCACAGCGGTAGGAGGCTGCATCTGTGACTGTGACGCTGGGCAGAAGGATGGAACGGGCACCTGGGCGCTGCTGCCCATCCTGGTACCACATGTAGGTGAGCTGGTCCAGGCGGGTGGTCCACACGAGACAGGTCAGGTTCACCAGCTGCCCCTCCTGCACAGTGGCCTCGGGCCACACCTGCACACTCACAGCTGGGGAGAAAAGGAGGGCACAGGGACACCATGAGGGTCATGAGACCATGTGACACAAGCCACCTGTCTCCCTGAGCAAAGGAAGCCCCTCAGCCTGAGAGGCACAGGTGGCCCACCTGTACTGGTTCATCATCTCTCACGTGGTCTCAGGCAGGGATCTGCAGCACCCTGACATGCCCTGAGTCGCATGGGAGAACAGGCCTCCCCTGCCCTGCTCTGCTTTCCCCTTGGGCACCTCATTTCTGATCAGTTTTATCCACTGTGCATCCACGTACAATTCTGTTCTTAAGAAAGACTCTTCCATGAAACTCCAGTCTGGAGACTGCTCCCCTTCAGAAAGGTGGGAATGGAAACTCCTGTGTTCAGCCCATCTGCCCATGCCTCAGGCCTCCAGAACTCTCCCCAGCCACCTCTCCTCTCGTAAAGGAGCCACTCATGCGCACACTCACAGCCCCACACTGACCCTGGGTGTCGAAGTTGGCCGAAGCAGAGGCCTGGCCCAGAGTGTTAGTGGCCTCGCAAGCATAGACACCCTCATCTTCCAGCATCGTGTTGTGGATCTCCAGGCGCAGTGTGTTGGGGGCCACAGCTACCTGCAGCCGGGGACTGCTGCCTGCAAGTTCCTCCACACCTCGCAGGGTGGAAGCCACAGCGTGGGCCCCATGGAGCAGCTGTAGCTGGGCTGGAGGGTCACTGTTCACACGGCACAGGAGGAGGCCCAGTCGTCCGGGGCCTGTGTCCATCAGGGTGGTGAGGGAAGCCTGGCGTGGGGCATCTACACAAGGCAGGGAGTGGTCAGGGCCCCTCCAGCTGACCCCTCATCTGGTGCTGTCTCTCAGAGACAGAGCCCAGGACCAAGGGCTCGGTATCCCCTACCCTAGCCGTGACCTTGACTCCTTCACCCCCGTGCCTCCCACAAGAAGCATGGATGCAATGAAAGCTTACAGGACACATGGAGGCTGACAGGAGTCGCCAGGCTCGTGGTGGCTGAGCCTGGGGCCTGGGCTTGGCAATGGTAGGCCCCAGCTTGGCTCAGAGTTATGGCTGCTAAGCGGTGTGTGGCCGAGGTTGACTCCTGAAGGGGCTGGCCATCCCGATACCAGCGGTATGAGGTCCCCTCCAGGACCCCTGCAGGTACCTGGCAGCTCAGGACCACAGCCTGGCCCTCCTGGAGCTCAGGTGATGGTGACACCTGGACCCAGGCTCCTGCAGGGAGACACGGAGAGCAGGTAAGGGCCTTCTGCCACACCCTCCCACAGTCTGGGACTGTGTGTGTGTCCATGCCAGAACTGCAGGACCCCAACCCCGTCTCCTGGGGCCACAGCTCCCCCACCAGACCACCACCGAGGGCCACAGTTCAGCCCCATGCCTCCTCCTCTCCTGTTCCCAACTCCCCTGCACTGGTTCTGTCCTGGCATTGACCTCCTGCTGCCTTGAGTTAAGGTTTTTCTCTACCAGTCACATCTTGCCTACAGAGGTCAAGCCCCTGAGGGCCCAGCTTATGTGACTTACAACCCAGTGCCAGGTGCAGCACTTGCGTGTATGAGCTCGTGACAGTTGTTGTTTGACCCCATAAAGCACTGAAATGGGAGGGATTTAGGTCATGCCAAGGGCCACTGTCCTGATCATGAGCTGGACTCAGCATGGTGACTGATGGCTTGGAAGGGGAAGTTAGCAGCTGTGTGATCTTGAGTTCTCTGCAGCCAGGCTGCAGGTCATGAGAACCCAGGAACTTGGGATGGGGCAAAGGGCAGTGCCCTCTGGGTCTGCTGGAGGAGGCCATGGTGGGGGACTGAGAAGGAGGGACAGCTGGAGGGGTGACTGAGAGCACAGGCTGTGCCTGAGACCAGAACTGAATGAACCAGAGTTAGCAGGGACCCCCGCTAGTCACGTGACTGTGAGCAAGCTCCTAAAACTCTGAATGCTTTTTCTGCCTGTAAAATGGGTCTGATAAATAAGAAAAGATATAGAGAACCAAGGCCCAAGGAAAATGTTCAAAAATTCACATTTGTCATTGTGGGAGGGAAAAAAATGTGTTTTTCTTTGGTCTTTGAAGCATTAAAGGCATTAACTTTATTTTTTCCTGGCTTATTTTCTTAGAGAAGATTTTTATAGGAGAACATATATGTGTATATAAATACATGAATATATCCTTATGTATAAGTGCATGTATACATGTGCATGTATATACTCGCATTCATATATATATATTACACATATATATATTAGGTTTTGTATGACAATAATTATTACATTATAAAATTATATTATGAAAGAAGTTACCCGTCAGGAAGTGCTCCCACCAATCAAGCCACCTCGTGTAACTACCACTGGCTCTTAGTGGCTGCCACAGTTATTACAGGTGAAAATATCTAGCTGAAAACAAAGGGAGGCTTCCTGCTGGGTGACTGGAAACTATCTCCTAACCATGGCTGAGAAAGACTCACATTTCTGCACAAAATCCACATGCCCCAGCCCAGAGCCTGGCCAGAGGAGCCCCCAGGCATTTGGGTCTATTGCACCCTCAGAGAACTGACACTCACCTCGGACCTGGAAGAAGAGGGAGGTATTGGCTGAGCCAAGGACATTTGTGGCCTCACAGCGGTAGCTTCCAGAGTCTCCAAGGCTCAAGTCTCGAATCTCTAGATGCAGGGAGTTGGCTGTGGCTTTGGCCTGGAGGCGGTCATGGGATGAGAGCTGGGGCCCTGGGCTGGTGGCCAAGAGGCGCTCCCCATGGAACAGGGACAGCTGGGCCAGGGGGCGACTATCCACAGTGCAGATGAACACGGCCACGTGGCCCTGGTCGATGTCCAGGAGGGCTGACAGCTTTGGAGGGTCCGGGGGATCTGCAAGGACAGGAAGGAGCTCAGGCCACCCCCAGCCCAGCTCACCACATGCCAGCTGCCACACTGTGTCCCATTCCCCCTCCATACACACACAGCCCAGGCCCACCCTTGCCTCCCCAAACTCAACCCCAGTCCTGTTACCCCGGACCACCCCTCAGGTCCCCATGTGCCCAGTTCTGCTTTTGCCCATCACCCACAGAGCACACTCAGGAGCACCGGGCTGGAGAGCAGGGCCCCAGCGTCGACAAGGATGCGGCAGGCATAGAGGGCAGCATCCGTTCTGGCCACGGGCAGCAGTGTCACAGTCTCCAGGGGGCCCTGGGCCCACAGCGCCCCATTCCGGAACCAGGAGAAGTTGGCAGGGCCGCCAGCAGCTTCCTGGCTCACGTTGCAAGTCAGGTTGGCCCCGGTGCCCTCCCGCAGCATGGGTGATGGCGTGATGACCAGGACAGTGGCTGTGGAACAGCAGCACAGGCCTGCCGAGACAGGCCTCCCCTTGGCTGCTCCCCACCTTGGGGGCTGTGGTCCAGCCTCCCAGCCTAGAGGGGTGGGAAGGAGACCCCCTGGGGTGCCCAGGGCGCAAGGGAGGAACGCAAACTCCTGTTGCTGTGGGGGTGCTTCACCCCACAGACCCTCCTCAGAGCACAGCTGTACAGGAATAGGGTCCTAAGCGCCAACCCTCGGCCCCAGCCACTGGTCCCTGCCCCAGCTCACCCTGGGCATTGAAGGTGGCCGGGGCAGAGGTGTTGCCCAGAGCATTGCTGGCCTCACACACGTACACACCCTCATCCTCCAGCACTGGGTCTCGGATCTCCACACGCAGCAGGTTGGGGGCCCTAGTGACCTTCATGCGCTGGGAACAGCCCCCACAGCTGCAACAGCCACCCTGCTGTGGCAGGGAAGAGGCCACAACATGGTTCCTGTGGAGCAGCTGCAGCTGGGCAGGAGGGTCACTGTCTACGCGGCACAAGAGGAGGCCTTGCCGTCCAGCCCCAGCTCCGGCGGCATCAGGGTCCAGCTGGGCAGTGAACGTGGGCCGGCGTGGGGCGTCTGTGGAGAAGAAGAGCATGGGCACTCATCCCACGGCCTCTGCCAGGGTCCCACAGGTCCACTCTAGGCTGGCGAGGCTTCCAGTACACACTGGACAGAGGTATGTGCCCAGAGGTGCTGAAAACAGCTGCGCAGGCTGTGCACTGTGCAAGGAGAACCAGACCGGGGTTGGGGGAATTCAGCCGACACACCTCGTGCTGAGCTATGACCTGGGGCTGGACTGAGTTGTTCCCAGGGGCAAGGGTGCCGTTTTGTAGCTCAGACAAAGGCTCAGTATTGGCTAGCAGTCACCTTGCATAACTCCTTGTGCCCTGAGCAGGGCGCCCACAGCAATCCCTGCTTCCACTCTGCACCCCATTCCTTACCACTGAGCTGTCCCTCAAGATCCTCCCTGCCTCTTATCTCTGATCTCCAAGCCAGCTTCTGTGATAACAGCTAATGCCTAAAATGCCCTCTTCCTAGGGTTTCTGGACATGGATGGTGAAAGACAGCCATCAGCCAAGGCCCCATGTGATCTCACCCTGACACCAGAGAACCCCCACAAGGTGCCCGTTCTGCCTGACAGCCCCAGGACGTTGCTCCTGTATGTGTCAGGGGAGGCTTTCTGGAAGCCAAGTCTGTCCTGAACACTGGTTTGCCCCTCGGGCTAATGTGGGGCACCCACACTTTACAGGACACAGTCCCTGTGCTGAGAGGTCTGCCTTCACGACTCTGGGAGCCTGTGGGGGAGCAGCCTATAGGCATGCGCCCACATGTAAGAGCATGGAATCCCAGAGCCCAGCTCAGGAGGACAAATCTTGGACATGGTGCCTGTGGTGGGTTTGAGGTTAGAGGCAGAGGGCTCCAAAATGGCTAGGATTGAAGGATAGGATGTGGGGAGGCAGAAAAAGCCCCAGCCTTGTACTCCCAATTCCAACCCCAGGCAGAGAGGCCTATGGTGCCCAGGCCTGTGGCTGCCTTTCTGGTCTTCCCCCAGGGCAGGGCGGGGTCAGGAGGAACCAAGGAGGTGGGGGTGCTCATGGGCCCCAGGGAGCTGATCCTCCATGACAGGCAGCGGCCTGTGGGGAAGCTGCTCACAGAACACTGTGAGGACAGCAGGTGATGAGGGGCCACTGGCACTGTGGCCGTCCTGGGCCCGACAGTGGTAAGAGCCGGCGTCCGTGCTGGAGGCTGTGGGGAGCAGGAGGCTGCTGCTGGGCCCCTCGAGAAACAGTGCTCCGTTCAGGTACCAGGAGAAGCGAATGTCAGGTGTGGGGCTTAGGCCGCTCCGGCAGCTCATTGTCACCGCCTGTCCTTCCACCACTTCTGCTGCCGGGCTGATGAGGAGGCGGGCCACTGGCAGGAGAGAAAGATGGGGAGGCTTAGCTCCTCTGCACATCTGCTGCTCCAGGCCACCCCCTGCAGGAAGCCTGCCAGGGTTCCCCTCTTCTCACAGAACTGTAGGTGGGTCTGGGCTTCATGACATCAGAGGGGCATCCACAGAGCAAATGGCCTGAACTCTTTATGTTTCAATGTCACAAAAGACAAGGGAAGACTGAGGACTGTCCCAGGTTAAAGGAGAATAAAGAGACATGATAACTGAATGAGATGAGGGACCCTGGATGGGATTCTGGGCCAGAAAAAAATAATTGCCATAAAGGACATTATTGGATCAACTGGTAAAATTTAAATATGGACTGTAGATTAGGTGAGAGTCTTGTGTCAATCTCTTGATAAGCAGGAGGGTTTGACCTTGAATGTCAATTCTGATCTATTGATCGTAGCTGGCTGCAGCATGGCTGAAAGGGATTCTGAGCCAGAAAACCTGGCTTGATTGATTAGCTATGTCTGCCACAGCCTCAGAAGACAGCACATGGGCCAAGAGTTGGAAGACCCCACTTCCTTATTTTGCCTCCTGCATCTGACTCCTAGCACAAAGCCTGCCCCGAATGCTGGAGAAATGAAAAACAAATGAAAGCATATGAAGGACCCTACAAGTTCAGAGTCAGAATATGCACAAAAGGAATAATGCAATCTGCCCTGTTTCCCTTTCTGCCTTGATTTCCAGGGATCTCCCAGGTTGGGATGACTGTTCAGCCCAGGTCTCTGACGTGACTTTTCACTAGCCAGCTAGTTCAGCCCCTCAGCTGAGTCCTCTGGACTCCTAGGAGGAAGAGGCTGGAACATGCCTTCTCCTTGGGCTCCCTCCGCCAGCCCCCAATGCCCATCTTACCATTGACTTGGAAGTCCAGGGTGGAGGACGCATTTCCAAGGGAGTTGCTGGCTAGGCATGTGTACTCCCCACTGTCAGTTGGCTCCAGATCTCTGATCTCCAGGCGCAGGGAGTTGGGAGCAGAGAAGACACTGAAGCGTGCGCTGAGGTCACCCTCCCCAGGGATGGAGGCCAGGACGTGGCCACTGTGTGACAGCACCAGGGTGGCCAGGGGCTCACTGACCACGGAGCAGCGGAGGATGCCCACCAGCCCAGCCTGCGTCTCCAGGAAGGCAGTTAGCTCGGGGGCGAGGGGTGGGTCTGTGTGAAGATGAGGGGGTGCCTGTCACCCTCAGACAGGGCACTCCCCAGATCCCAGATCCCCCTTTGTGGCCCCTGAACTCCCTCTGTCCCACAATGCCCTGGGAGAGAGGGGCAACCCCTCTCCTGCTTGCCTGCTGCCTACACTTTTGTCCCTGGGCTGGGCAAATCACTTTGTCCATCCTTGTGGCAACCATGCCAGTTGGGATCAGAAGCCCGTCTTTAAAGATGGGAACACATCTGGTAGAGACAGCTGGCAGTGGACACTTCTCAACCAAGTGATCAGAGTTAGCACTGCCAACAACAGGACAAACTGACATCACGTGTCTCCTGGCATGATGCTGAGAGACAGACGCTGCATCCTGTCTGTGGTGCTCTCACCCAGGTGCACAGGATCAGTCTACTAAGCCAGACACAAACTGAGGGGCATCCACAGCAAATGGCCTGAACTCTTCAAATTTCAATGTCAAGAAAGACAAGGGAAGACTGAGGACTGTCCCAGGTTAAAGGAGAACAAAGAGACATGATAACTGAATGAGATTAGGGACTCTGGTTGGTTGGGATCCTGGGCCAGAAAAAAATAATTGCCATAAAGGACATTATATGTCAATTGGTAAAATTTAAATATGAACTGTAGATTAGGTAGGAGTTTTGTGTCAATGTCACATTTCCTGACTGATCATTGTGCTGTGGTTATGCACAAGAATTACCTTAGAAATACACATGCTGAGGAGTTAAAGGGTAAAGAGGCACCTGCCTGCAACTTCAGGAATGTGAATGTATGGATGGAGAGACAGATAACATATATGTGTATGTAACATATGCATGCTTGTATTTGTATATACAGAGAAAAGATGTATGTGTACACAATACATGCATATATGTAATGTACATGTTATATACAGACATGTATATATATGCATATGTACATCTACATATATATTATATGTGTATGTATTTAAAGAGAGAGAGAGCAAATGCTCCAAAATTTAACAAATGGGGAATCTAGGCTAAAGATCTATGATAATTCTTTTGCTCTTCTTACAACTTTTTGTAAGTTTAACTTATTTCAAAGTAAAAGGTTTTCTAAAATAGGAGGAAACTGTGGCCCAGGAAAATCAAAGCCTCACCCAGGTGTGCAGAGCTGGGATGTGAGCTCAAGCCCACGCAGGCTCAGGACCCCAACCCTCCAGTGGGCACCCCACCCTTTGGCCTGGCTCTGGCAGAACCCAGTGCCACCCCACCCCGGCCACTTACGGCTGACCACCACACTGACAGGGCCAGAGCGCTCTCTGCCCTGGGCATTCTGCACCTCGCAAAAGTAGAAGCCAGTATCGGCCCTGGTGGCTGAGCGCAGCTGCAGTGCGTGGCTGTGGGGATCCCCCAGCAAGACGTGGTTCTTGTACCAGCTATAGAGCAGGCCACTGGGTGCTTCTCTGGGTGTATTGCAGGTCAGTGTCACTGTCTGGTTCTCTAGGATGGGGCCTGCTGGGTTCACCTGGACCTCGGCCACTGTGGGGTAACATAAGGCACACTGGGGACACTCAGCTGACTTCCAGGCCCAACCCCTCAGAACAATGGGGTTGCGGCCAATCAGTGCAAATCTGTACATACAGTGCAATTCTACATCATTGTCCTTCTGCAGAGGGGCTTTCTGGACTGGCCCTGCTTCTCCTTGACCTGTTTCCTGGGGTCCTCCTGACATCCCACCCTGCCGGGGAGATTTGTCATCTGTCTGAGTAGGGCTAGAACGCTACACCCACGTCCCAGGAGGCAACTTGGCCTGGCTTCCCTCAGCCCCAGTGGCCTGGACCCCTCCCCACCCTCTGGTCAAAACCCAGGTTCCCCAGAGACTCACTGAAGATGTGGAGGCTGACAGGGGGTGAGGCTGAAGAGCCCACACTATTCCCAGCTTGGCAGGTGTAGACGCCAGCATCATCCCAGGACACCTGGGTCAACTGCAGCACACGGTTTTGGGCTTTGAGGTGTGTCCCATCCTTGACCCACTGCACGGAAGTGACACTGGGATAGCTGCTGTTCACCTGGCAGGTGAGTGTGACCAGATCACCTGGCAGAATGTTCCGCCCCGAGGGACTGAGAAGGATCTCCACACCCTTCGGGGCATCTGCAAGGCATTACAGGGGATGTTGGGTAAGATGGACACACTCCTCCCCTCTTCTTTCAACAGTGGGTCCTGTTAGTCCCCCTTTCCAGGGGCAGGTGCTGCCCCAGCCTTGTGAGGAATTCTTGATCCCTTCCTCCTCTGCTGAGAGCCTGACAAGACAGTCGGGGCTTGGCTGAGCACTGCCCACACTGCCTCTGTGGCCTTCTGCCTCGTGCTGTCCCCTGGGGCTCATGGGCAACACACTGCTCCCTTTGGTGGCCTGTGGGGGCTGCTGGCAAGGGACCAGCCACCTAACGGAGGGGACCACGCCAGGGTCACTGAGCTCTGAGAGTGGCTGACCCATTTATATGGAAGGCGCTGACCAAAGACACGGTGTTTCTTTCAGGCTTGTTCCGAAGCCTCTCGCCATGAAAACACGCTCATAAAAGCTATTTTCAAAATATGAAAGTAATAGAAGCTAATAGCTTGGAGTGCTTAGTGTGTGCTAAGCACTCCTTCTATTTTCACCATGGTTGTACAAGATGGCACTATTTATTGTTACCTCCCCTACACAGAGGATAAAACAGAGGCTCTGAGATGCAAGTAACTCCCCAAAGTTTGCTCATCGTGGTCGTGGAGCCAGACAACCTGATGGCTGTGAACAGTGGCTATTCTCAAATAGGCTGCCCTGTTTTACTGTGATGGGAAGATGCATCCTCAAGCAGGAACTCGGGCTTCCTCTCCTGCCTCTTTGCCATGGCCGGGTGGGCCCCGGGTCACCAGAAGCATAAGTAGCCTCAGGCAGGAAAGGACTCAGAGCGAAAACCCCACCAGCATCCTCCAAACCTGGGCTAAATCCCAGGGCCCTTGCTGCCCAAACCCCAATTCTCTGACTCTCTGTGTCTCCCCTTCCCTGCCCCGCCTGGGCTTGGGGACAAGTGGCAGAAGGAAGCCGTTAAATGTGGCTCCCAGGGCTTAGCAGTCTCTCTCCACCTGCCCAACCCTGTAGGTCTGAGTGAACCTGGCTTTTTCTCAAGAGCAAGGGCTCTGTTTCTACAGGCTGGAGAAGGCCTGGTTCCCACTGGAGAGCCACGCATGTACGCTAATGAGGGTGTGGCCCCTCGGGCACTCACACTGCACTTGGAGGTGAACCTCGCTCTGTGTCCTCTGCTCGGCTACCGAGAGCTGGCACTGCAGGGTCAGGCCATGGTCCCGCCAGGTCAGGGCCATGTGGAGGGTCTGCAGGTGGGTGACACCTGTGGGCTCAAGCTTCTGGAGGCTGGAGGTGACCGAGCGAGTGGGGTCCTGGCCTTGCCACTGCAGGCTAACCGGCTTCTGCAGGCAGGTGTAGGGGGTGGAGCAGTTGAAGTCTGCCTCCATGCCCTCGCGGAGCTCGGCAGGCCAGGTAAGGGTAGGCACACTGGGCTTCTCTGAGACAAAGACAGGGCATCAGGACTCTCCTTCAACCTCCGATCCCCCGAGACCTTCTGCACTGAACCCTCAGCTGAGGGATGAGCCCCTGGGACTTCAAGCAGAAGGAGAGGCTATTTTCTCCCCCCAGTCCCACTTGGGGTGAATGCACCGGGATGCAGGACTGGGGCCAGGTGGGGGCCAATACTGGGTTTAGGACAAGTGTTGGGTCTGTGAGCCAGTGGGGTCAGGAGCAGCTCGGGGGTCCCTTTCAGGCAGTAGGCAGGCCCCTCTGCTCCTCACCTGCCACGGTGACCACAGTGCCTTTGGTATCTGACCAGCGGTTGCCCTCACTGATCTCAAAGCGGAAGTTGTAGGAGCCTGAGTCCTCGGGCTGCAGGTCCTTCAGCAGCAGGTTGCACACCTTGTGCTCAGCTTGCCCCAGCAGCTGGGCCCGGTCTTGGAAGCGTGCCTCCACCAGCTGGGGGTTTGTGGAGTGGCTCACCACCTGCCGTTGGCCCGAGTAGTCATAGTACCAGATTGCTGTGATGCTGTCGGGCACCTGCACGTCGGCAGGGTAGGTGAAGACGCAGGGGATGACGAGGCAGGACCCCTTCACGCCCTGCACTTCCTGGGGACTGGAGACACCCCATGAGGCCAGACCTGAGGGAGGGGTGCAGAGAGGAGAGTGATGCAGGCCTGGGGTCACCGCAGAGCCCTAAGATCTTCCCCAAAGAGAGTGTCTCAGATGGGCATCAAAACCCTGCCCGGCCCCCTAGCAACAGCCCTGGAGCAGCTCCTCTTGGCGCCCCGGGGAGGGGCCTTGCCCCTTGTCACTGCTTTCCCGGGCCCTCCTTCGATCTCAGCACAGACCTGTGGACAGGCACAGTCCAGTCTGCCCAGGCCAGGGAAGGGCTGGACTCCCCAAGGCTGGCCCCGGGAGCTGGGCAAGGCCAGAGAACCTTACCTGCTGAGATGGATGAGGTCAGCTGGAAGAGCTGGAGCAGGTAATCCATCACAGGTTCTTGCGTGAGTTCTGGGTCCTAAAAGGGCAGTGTGCACCGTGCTGGTGGGGCCCACAGGGGCCTCCTAGGAACCTCAGGACACCTCCGCCTCTGGGCCTGCTGAGAGGCCCGCACGCTATGGTGGCCAAGCCAGTGAGAGGGCAGGGCTGCTCTGGGGCAGCTGCCAGCAGAGCCAGGAGCCCACATGCACAGCTCAGACTGTACCCAGGATGCCCTTACTTGGTGGTATGCACCAGAAAGCCTTCTATGTGTCCCTTGGCCCCACCCTAAGTTCTGGTTCCCCAGCCCCAGTGTAAATGAGCAGCTGCTTATTCCCCACTTCCCCACCACCTCCCTGCCCACAAGCTAACAGGAACTGGAGCCCAGAGAGGCTCAGGGACTAACTCCAAGGTACCCAGTGATAACGATAGTTTCTTACTTGAGACTGGTCTCCCTACCACCAGCCTTACCAGCTATGGGCCATAATGGGGCTTGACTGAGCACTTATCAAGTCACTACCCTGCTCGAACACCTTCTATAGCTCACCATTGCCCATGAGCTATATGGGCCCCAACACATCCCTGGAAGTTTCTCATTTCCTACTCCCAGCTCTGCCCCCATGCTCTACTCCCCACACCCCTATCTTTAGGTCAGTCCTGTCTGCCTATGGGCTCTCCAGCTGACCAACATTGCCTCCACCGTGAATAATACCTGCCAACTGGAACCTTATTTAGTCTTCAAGGTATGTCTTACAGAAACTTCTAACTAAAACTTCCCCCTTTGGAATCCTTGCAGCCACCCCAGTACTATCTCTGTACCTGCCTTGTCTTTGGAAGCTTGTGAGAACCCATTTCTCAGAACCTAAGACTGAGGAGGATGTATACCCTGCCACAGTGCAGAGCCCCCCAGGATTTGCAGTGGTGGACAAGAGATATGTGGCCCTAGGGAATTTAGAGTTCATGGCAGGGAAGTCTAGGTGCAACAGGGCACAAAGGCCCTGAACAACACATATCCCACAAACATGAGTTAAACACCTATTGTGTATCATGTACAAGAAGGAGAGCCCTCTGCCATGGAGTGCCCCTGGTGGGTATAGGGGCTCTAAGGGGTGCCACAGAATCAGAAAGGGAGATACACCAGAAATACATATAACTAAAACTATAAAATTGTTAGAGGAAAACAGGTGAAAATCTTCATGCTATAGGATCAGCAATTATTTAAGTATTATACTAAAAGCACAAGCAAAAAAATAAAAAAGATAAGTTGGACTTGATAAAAATTTAAAACTTTCGCGCATCAAAGGACACTATTAAGAGAGTGAAAAAACAGCTACAGATCGGGAGACAATATTTACAAATCATATATCTGATAAAGGATTAGTATTAGAATATATAAAGAATGACTACAACTCATACTATCAACAACAATAAAACCCCAAACAACCCAAAATCAGAAAATGGGGTAAGAACTTGAATATCAGTTTCTACAAAGATGATATTCAAGTGGCCAACAAGCCCACGAAAAGGTGCTCAACAACATTAGTCATTAAGGACATGCAAATCAAAACCACAATGAGCTACCACTTCACACCCATTAGAATGGCTATTAAACAAAACAAGAAAATGACGAATGTTGTTGAGAATGTAGAGAAATTGGAAGCCTCCTGCACAGCTTGTGGGAATATAAAATGGTGGACATGTTTTCCCCTGTGGAAAACAGTTCAGTGGTTCCTCAAAAAGTCAGATATGCATTATCATATGATCCAGCAACTCCACTCCTAGTTATCTACCCAAAAGAATTGAAAACAGGGACTCAGATTCTTGTACACCCATGTTTACACAGCATTCACAAGTCAAAGTGGAAACAACTCAAATGTCTATCAAGAGGTGAATGGATAAAAAAGTTGTGGCATGAACCCATACAACAGAACTGTTTAGCCTTAAGAGGAGATTAAATTCTGATACATGTTATAATATGGATGAACCTTGAAAACCTTATGCTAAGTGAAACAAGCCAGACACAAAGGGCAAATGTTGTATGGTTCCACTACCCTAGGGAGGCAAATCTATAGAGACAAACGTAGAATAGAGGTTACCAGGGGCTGGGTGGAGGAAATAGGGAGCTAATGTTTAATGGGTACAGAGTCTCTGTTTTGGATAATGAATAACTTCTAGAAATAGACAGTGGTGCAAGTTACACAGTATGTGTGAATGTACTTAATGCCATTGAAATGTATACTTAAAAATGGTTAAGACAGTACATTTTCTGTTATGTATATTTTATAGCACACATGTACAAAAACCCATGTTGCCAACTTTGCAGTCCTCCCTGGTCCTAAATGCTGACTTGGCAGAGTGAGGGGGGAGTGCTTGGGGAGACTGGAAGTGGGGACAGGAAACTCGTGACATCTCCCAGCCCCCAGCCCATCAGCCTCAGTTGGGGCCCAGCCAACTGGTGGCTACCAGAGGGCACACCTGGGTAGGGGCTGAAGACAGAGCCTGGATGGGGCCTGAAGTGCCTTTCAGAACCACAGAGCAGTTCTTAGCCAAGTGTGCTGGGAGGAGGAGTGTCCATGCCGGGAGCAAGGCAACGCCAAGGGCCTGGGTCAGCCAGAAAGAGCACTGCTCCTCAGGGAACACAGCCCCCTGGCTTGGCTGCTCCACCAGACAGGCCTGGACATTTGCAGGTCCACTGGCTCACCCACAGTTCTTTGGGACACCCTAGGCTGGCTCCTCTCCCAGGAGGATGTACCCACATCTGCACACCTGGTCCTTGGCCACAGGACAGGCTCATGCTGGCCGGCCTGGGCCTGTGACCTGGATGTTGCCTGAATGGCTGCCTGTTGGGCATGTTTGGGGTCAGTTCCTCTACAGCCAGGATATTAGCAAGATACCCATTTGTTGTCCCCAGCTTCCCTGCTGTTCCCATTTGGGGCTGAACCTACAGAAGGAATGGTGGAATTTTAGACATACTGACCCAAGAATGGAGCAGGGATTTTTGGAATGTGTGAGAAGACTTTTTCTAGAACCACCCAAAATCACATCATGTAGATGTCACCTACACTTAGCTCAGTTCCAACACCCATGGGAGTTCCAACACCCATGGGGTCAGTTCCACCAGAGTCCAGCTTATCGGCTCAGCTGTTCCACCCCAAAGACCAGCTCAGCCCTGAGAACTTTCCTGGAAAAAGAAAAGGCAAGAAGGAGCCTAGAAAGGGAGACCCTTGTCCTTATTTGAAAACCTGGTGTTGAGGGGTAGGTGCCCCTAGGGTTTGGGTTGAGCTGGGTGTCCTGGTGTGCGTCCAGCGCCCCCTGGTGGTAGAGGGGTGACTGCAGGTCCTGGGAAGGAGGTGGGTATACAGGGGGACAGGGAGCAGGCTTGCACTGAGACAACGGTCCCTCAGGCAACGACTGGGAGAGGACTGTTCCCCGGATCTCAGGCACTTCCCAAGGCTCATCACTGTATGTCCAGGTCTTGGGCGCCATGAAGACAAGGGTTTGAACTCCCGCCCCTAGAAGTGGTGTCTGTTGCATGAGGGATGAGTTGGGGTGGTCTCTACACAGTAGGTGCCCATGTTTCCTGCCTGTGTTAGAGCACATGGAGTGGATGTGAGGTCAAATGTCCCAGGACAGCCAGAGGGGGTGGGCTGGGGCTCCAAATCCCTGACTTCTGATTTCCCAGAGGCCAAGTCTAGGAGAGGACAGAGGCAGTTTCACTCCAGGCAGCTATGCAGGGCTCAGTTTCTGTTTCCTGCCCCAGAGTGTCTCTCCGACTTCCCTGTCAGGCTGGGGAAGGAGGGAAATAGTGCAATACAGCCAGCTGGAGGGCTCTGCTCCACAGATAGGAAATCAGATGGGCAATTCCAGAGCACATTATCTTCGTAACAATGGAAAACCCCAATATAGGCCAAATATTTAACCCCCAAAATCATATAATCCATAAATGAGGTCTGTTGGCTTTGAAATGGGCAGTGGAAACTTCCCACCTCATTCTCTAACCTGGCTGTGAGGGCTCTTAACCCCGAGCATCCGTTCTTGAGCCAGGTTGGGTGGTGCTGGGGGTCCTCAGTGAAAGAAGTGGAATGGACTGGGCATGGGTGAGGGTTGAGTTACGGATGGGCTGGGGCAAAGGGGATGCTAGCTGCAATCTGGGATGGCATTGGGGTGGGAGCCGAGGGGAGAGGTGGGGCCAGGGGGCATGGAGATGATGGTTGGTAAATGGTGGGGGTGGAGGCAGCTGAGGGTGAGGCAGGGATGGCATGGGGCTCAGGGCAGGGCAGGGGCAGGGTGGTGATAGGGACTGGGACGGGGCTGGGGGTTGGGGAGGACTTGGGATGTGCAGGGCTTGGGTTATGAGTACAGCTTCCATTAGTGTCTTGGGCTTGGGCTGGCTTGTGTCCAGCACCCACACCCAGATGCCCCCCAGCAAATCTCAGCACAGCCTTGCTCCCAACCCTCCACTTGCCCTCCAGGCCCAGGCATGGAAGTACCTGTTCACGGGAAGAGCGGCTGCTGGGCTGGTGAACCACAGGAGATAACAGGAAGGAGGGCCGGGAGCTCGTGGTGCTCTTCTCTCAGGGCTCCACCACCCCGAGAGAGGAGATCCAGCCTCGGGGCTGCTTCCTCTTTTCCCAAAGCCTCAGCTCTACTGCTCAGCTCCGAGGCTTGTCAGGGAGACAGCTGCAGGCCTTGCACAACACCAAGGCAGGAAAGCCCTCCTCAGCAGGGGAAGGCCCCTGGCAAGGCCCAGGACACAGGGACTTGAGCAGGCAGAAGTGGGATCTGGGGACCACGCTGCAGTTACCTCTCAGGCAGAGAGGGAATGGTGGGTCCTGTTCACCAGCCATGTCCATACCCCTCTTTTTCAGGGCTGCTTGGTCTTTCTGGGGGGCCTGAGGGAGGAGGAAGGGAGCTTTCTGTACACTGTTACTCCTGACAAAGGGGAAGGGGGCAAGCCCAGCCTGGCGTGGAGCAGCATTACAGAGTACCCAGACCAAGGCTTTGATTTCCCACTGTGGGAGCCTCCCAGTACCCCACTGCCACCAGGATACTCTGAAAACTCCTCAAGAGGCAAGTCCTATTTGTGGGGGTCACAGGCTGGGGGAGTGTCTGATTCCTCTCCTCTCCCCACGGTCCTACATGCCCCCATATACACACATACACATGACTTCAGCAGCCCCTCCCCTCTGCTGAAGCAGAAAATCAAGGATCCCCCATGGCTGAGCCCTTGATTCTTGAGACAACTGCCATTTTCAGCTTTGGGGCAGGTGGCTGAAAGCAGTGTGCTTAACTACTTTCATATCCATGTCATTTGGA